TCCAGGGAACAGCAGCCTCTCTGGTCACAGATTTTAAAAACTTAGCTTTCATACCTTTCTTCTGACATCTATAATTGAGAAACCACAGGGTAACTCATGAACTGGAAAAGGGTATAGACACCTCAGCTAGCTAAATGATGAGTTAATATCTCCTCCTTTCTCTTTTTTTAACCCCTCATGTGTAGCCTTTCAGATTGCCTGAGCTACAGGGCTCTGCCTTGTAGATGCTGTCTCCAGTCAGTAGAGCACAGGTTGGAAATACACAACAAAGAGCTGATCTTTCCAAGATCTGTCTGCACCAGAGAAAAAAAAGAAAAAAAAGAAAAAAAAATGAAACGAAACCCCAAAACAAAACAAAAAATACCCAACACCCAAAAAACACCCAAAGAAAAACCAAACAAAACAATCCCCCTTAAAGCCCCCTCACTTTTAAGGGACCACTTCTGATCAGCCCTCCAGCCCATCCTGCGGTGAATTAAATTCTAAGAGGATAACACCAACTGATCATCACTCTGACCTACAGAAGCCTGAATCCACCTGTCAGGGTACCATGTGTTTTCCACACAGGGTTGTTCCCTCCCTGTTTCCCAGAGAGAGAACAAAATCCACAGCAGAGAGAAGGGGCACAAACCCCACCTTGCAGTTTGCAGCATGCTGTCCCCAAGCTTGGGGATGGCAATGAAAACTCACATCTTTAACAGGCTACAAGATAGCAACCAAAAACAAAACAAAACAAAAAAGACCAGAATGACTTCATGTATTTCCCCCACCAGTCGCCCATGCAAGGGCCAACCACGTCCTGGCCATAAATTCTCTGGCACAAGAGCATTATACCAAAGGAAAGGAATGCCTTTCCATCTGTGTATTTCCCCTCAGGCACTCACTTGATAATGAAACCAGTTAAGGTCTTTGGGTTCACAACGTTATTATAGTTGGATAATATTTTGTTTGCAGCCAAGCCTGAAGAACTCCTAAGTAGTGCAGTACAGGCACCATACACCTGTTAAGTCACGGCGTTCCTTCTCTAAGTGGACAAATCTGTTTTAGCCATCTCCCGAGATTTTCCCCTCACAGTTAATTACAAAGCGATGACTGTACTCATTTCCTGATCTTAGAGGGAATCGATAACAAATGTCTGCCACGGGTGAAGGCTGTTCCCTCTGTCCCTCACAAACACCAGCAATCCTTCTAGCAGCCCTGGCTGCCCTCCTTCAACCTTTCCTCCCAGTCCTCCCAGACCTTCTGCTGCAACACAAACACTGCACAGAAAATAATAACCTTTCACTAGGAAAGAAACAACATGGGCTGACTGAGACTAACATTTTCTAAAATAATTGAACAATGCACCTCCTGAACGCAGAAACGCTGGCACAGGCATCCAGACCAAGGTCATTCTGCAAAGAGCTACATTGAGATGGACAGACCCAACACTGTCAGTGATGTTCATGCAGAGAGCCACCCAGCAAGGCAGCAGGATTTTATTCACTACCTGCACAGGCATCCATGATTACAGAGGTGAACATGATTCCCAATGACTTGGGGAGCAATTTTGTTTAAAATGATTAACAGGCTCGCAAAGAAATTTGCCCCTTGTTGGATCTGAAACTCATTGGAGCCACTTTCACTCTGTGACATCTATTCTAGTATACAATTGTGATCCGAAGTACTGTTGTGTCTCGTAAAATACAAGATATTCTGAAATCAGCTCAGGCACAATAAACATTCTGGGGAAAAAATAAGAGGAAAGTAGTCCATCCTAAGAAGAAGTGATACTTCATTGTGACAGCAACCTTTCTTCATGCTACTCCTAGCAGGCTGATGTCTGATCCTGGGCACAAATCCTTGGAAATCAGTCTCCCTGACCTTAGAGACATACGTTAGGTCAATGGTTCCCAACTTTCCGGACCAATAGCCAATTGAAAAGGATCAGCATTTTTTGCAAATCGTCACACACACTTACCATCAGCTTTGTGACTGGAAGCTCAAAGGTGATGTGACTCAGCAGCAGGGCTCCAACACCACCTTCGTTACCCTTGTGGGATGACCAATGCTCAGCAGACAGTCGAAGAGCACCCCTTGGCTGGAGACATCTCACAGAAACTTAGAAATTGAATTTGTTCACTGGCTCCCATGTGAACAAATCGTTTTCACAAGTTGTTTCACACCATATCCCAGGAGCCAGCTCCTGTGCCATGGTCCAGGCATGAGCCCTGTCACAGACTGTGCTTCCCCTGGTCTGGGCTGTTGAGAACCAGTCTAACCTTCTGAAAAACCTCTTCTGAATCCCTCTCACTGAAAACACAACATCTCACTGAAGATGCCATCCGTCCACTTTGAGAATAAATACAAAGCAATTCCTTCAGCAAGGAAGGAGGGAGCAGAAACATTTTCTGTAATTAAATGTATGGAATTAAAAGCACAGAAGCATACAAACACCACATAAATCAATTAAATAAAACCAGACACAATCAGACGACTTGCAGAGACAAGGAAGTAAAGAAAAAGATTAAAGGGAGCTCCTGGATGATGAACAGATGGACTGTGACTTGAAGCTCAGGTAAGAAAAGGGACTTTGGGCATTGGATTTCTTCTGTGATACAGCTCCACTTTGCCAGCCTCAGACAACAGATCTGACCCCAAAATTACTCTTTTTCTCCAAACAGAAGAAATCTGCTAGACCCAAAATGTGCTCCGCACCTCTGATGACAGTGGAGACACACCAGCTACAGAGTGTTCTTCCAGCTATTGGAGAGCAGCTTTAATAATTTTATTAACATCCTCTGAAACACTTCTACCTTTTTTTCCCCCCCTAGAAAGAGACAAAGTTTACCAAACAGGGCCACATATTTCTTATCATTTCATTGCTTTCTTATTGGAACTATCATTGTGGAGTCTTCTGGGCAGTCAAAGAAGTTTCATGGACGCAGAACTGATTAAAAAACAGATTACCAAACAACATCTTGGGAGGAAAAAAATACACATATCTCACTCTGGGTTTAGTGTTAATGCTCTTCCTTTGCACACTTCATTAGGCTTTTAAATTTCAAGCTGTCCATTGTATGAAATTCTCAGCACTATTAGAAACCCCTGGCACTCACACAGAGTGCTTCAGAACAATGACAAAGGTTTGGCAGAAACCCCATATGAACTGCCCACGCCAGTGACTCTCCATATCCTTGTACTAGTGTTGGACTGCCTCAGTTAGGCTTTGCTTTGGCAGTGGAAGTTCCAACTTCATCTTGGACAAAAAAGTAAAAAAATCTTTGGTTATTAAAAAAACTGAAATGGGGAATATATCTGAAACAATACTTTGGTACCCACAAAATAAAACTGGGCATTTTCTGTGACTTGTGCTATACGTTTTAATTCACTTTCTCGAATAATTTACAATGATTCTCAATTTTTCTACAAGTAAATACCATTACCTATTTAAAAATCAAAGCTATTGCAACATGTTGTCATCAAGTTTGTGTGAGTAATTACATATTAAAATGGCAAACATCCCTTCCAATAATACCCTGGCAGAGTTTGCTTCTTCTGCAAGTAATAAAAGTGAAAGAGAGCAAACTGTGCTTCAAGATATTTGGCTGCTGCCCCATGACGCAGCTGATGCATTCCAAATGTCTGTCAGGTCACTTTGCAACACGAACCACTGCTAATCAATAGTGAAATCTTTCTCTCTGTGGCTTAAATATATTTCTGGTTTCATTAAACAGAAGAAAATTGCAAATTAGTTGGACTCTGGCAGACCATGCAGCTTGGAGAAACATGCTGTCATCCTGATTGGGTAAGAGTTAAGATGATGCAGTTAAATCACAATATTTAATTGACTGTCAACCATGCACACAGGTTTTGTGAAATGCACTGCAGTATCCTATTGCTGGTCTTCACAAGAGGCAGGTCAGTTTCTAAGCATCCAAGCATTTTTCTTAAAGCCCCAAACTCAGCTTCCCCTTTCTAGGATGCGAGCCTTTCTTCACCTCCTTCACTTGGCCCAGAAGTCATGTCCTTTTCTCTTACTCTTCATATATCTTCCTTTTCTTGATTCCAAGCTACTTGGAACAGAGATCATATCCGTCTTTGTTTGAAGACTCTATAGCAGTCTGCATGTTGCAGTGGTACCATAAATAAAAAGTAATAAAAATGTTAGGAAAGTCTTTTGAAAAGTCCATGTTATTTTTATTATTACTCATGCTGTCACTATTTAAAAAACAATGCCAGGAAGATCTAGGACTTGAAGGGGACTTATAACAACTTTTGTAAGAATACACTATTGAAACTATGATGTTACTGACAGCAAAGTGTTTTGCAAGGTGTACAGGTTCTCCTGCTGCTTTTTTGAGTGCTTCTAACAGATGTTCAATTTCAAGTGGTCTGCAGATACCAATAGACTGATGGTTCTGCAGGAATCAGAGCAGCAGATGTGCCCTGCATTATGTTTTGCTATTCCCTTTATGAATCAACATGTCACCCTGTGGGTTTATAGCCAGTTAATTTTGTAATGACATCACTATTTCTGTACTTTTAATGATTCTCGCAGGATTTGATTTCTCAAATAACAGAACTCTTGATCCTGGAATTGCTATGCGAAAGTAGTATATAATAAACAGATTTCTTTACATGATACAGTTCCACTTCCCACCAAATGTCTTTGCTGATAGCTTTTAGGTAGTGCTGGTATGCACGTGGATTCTCCCAAAGACTGCAGATTTACAGCATGGACTCATTTCAGGGCTCTAGATGAATGTCTGTGCGTATCTCTGTAGGATCACCACCCTCCAACAAGTATTGGTGGCTGGAAAGAATGAGGATAGTAAGGGAATAAGGATAGAAAGAATGGGGATTTCCATTGGCTCTGCTGTAGAAGGGTAGGTCAGATGCTCCTGTCAGATGCTGCATTCCACGGTGGCCATGGTACCCAGCTGAAATCAGAGTACACAGGAAATTGCGCTGCATTTTCCACTGACAGGGACCTGATTATGAGGACAGCACTCTGGCTGTTGGCTTGGACGCTTTCAGTCTTAAAAGGGAGCCAAGTTTTTTCTCCCTCAAATACAGTTGCAGAGTTTGTTAGAGCCCAGAGGTTATTGGGCAGAATCTCTGGTAACAGCTGCAGGCTGCACAAAGCAGCCATAGGACACTACCTTTCTTCCCTGGAGTATTCAGCACTGGTAAAGAATGTCTTTCTTCTTATTTTTAAATACAGAGAGGAAAAAGTGATGCTATTACAGCTGTATTTAAAAGACTTTTGACATTTTCTTCATTGAAAATAACTATTAAGTATTTTTAAAAAATGACTAGAATAAACATCATGGGTTGTAAAAGGTTCTAGTTAGTTATGTTGTGTTATGAAGCCTTGAAATACACCTGAAAACTTAACTTTGAAAACTCAGAACTTCATAAGCCTACATCAGCCCCCCCCCCCCATTATCTCAGAAATTATAGTCCTCACAATACTGTAAACAGCAAAATACATCTTTAGTAAAAGCCAGCTTTTGAAAAGCATCTTAGGAATTAAATTTAAGGAGTGAATGCTATCTGCTCTTACTGATCTACCTGAGAGATCAAGTCCTTAATTTCTAAGAATCAACTACATAATTTTTACACACATACAGGAAAAAATAACCTCCTGTTGTGACCACAGGCAGAGTCTTCACAGTACTTGAAAGGAGCTGGGTGGTCATGCTGGGGTCCAAATTCACCCATAAAAAGGATAAGGAAATCATCCTAAAAGGATGAGGTAAATATTTTTCTGAGTTTTCCACAGTATTTCTGGGGTTTTTTTCTGCCCATCTTAATTTCTTGAAGTTCACATTTCTTAAAATAGTTTGGTATCAGCCTTAGTACAAATCTCAGATTGAAACTTATGAAGTTCAGGAAAGCTAATGCTGAGGTTAAATCAAATATGACTGGCCTTCAGCACCGAAAAATAGCAAAGACAAAGCTCTACCTGGAGGTCCACACCTTTAAGTGCATGAATTACCTGACTTCCATCTTAACTGAAGCTGTAAGCATGTTGTCTAATGGCATGCCAAGCCCACGGATATCTCAGAGTACTCCAAAAGCAGAACTCCCAGCAGAATCTTGCATTCCCCAGAGACATGGCACATCACAAGCCTCCAGACCCACCTCTTCTCTTTTGCTCTAGCCTCCCAAGAAATGCTGAACCAAATTCTTCTGTCACCCGAACTAAGCATTTCTACCCCAGATGCTTCCAGCAGCCAGTCACGACTTTCAGCCCCTCTCCCAAACACCGTAACAAAAATTATGCTCAGAAACCTTTTGCTTCTCTGGCACAACTGAAGTACTTATACCTTGAAGTTTGTTTTTCCAGGCACCTAAATATCCTTGTGATATTTCCTGAGAAGTAAGGACCACCATAAAATTATGGAGCTATTCCAAGGACATACTTTGTCCAGTATGGAGGCATGGCCACACAGGGACTTCTAGTGCCTCTCCAGCACTTTCCCTCCTTCAAAACCCAAACTGCTGGCCAAGACACACACCTTGCTACCAGCACACTTTCCCTGGCTCAGGCCATGAAGAATCAAACACACAGGGAAGATGCTGGGCGCATTGCTCACTGCACAGCCTCAGGGTACTCAGATACAGCCACGGGGAGCTCAGCAGCCCATGCCTGGTGAGACCCACTATATTTAGGGTATGACTGCTTTCTAAAAATGCATTATCTAGACAAAACAGTTGAGTATCTTAGGGATGCAGGTTCTGGTTTTCCGAATATTTCTGATATTTACTCTGACATTTCCCCCGAGTGTGCGTGGTGTTTTGAAAGGAAAAGAGTTTTCTGTTGCTTAAGGCCAGTCCTTCCTGTTTGTTAGTTTATACCAAACCTAAATTTTGACATGAATAAAACTGCTGCTTTAAGTCTGATTTCAAACATGTGGTAAAGGCAAATCTAACAATTTTATGAGATATAGTTACTTTTGTAGAGGGTGAGTCTGCCCTGGGGAATTTTCCCTGACTAGATTTATCACAAGTTTTTTGAACCAGATAATTTTGTTTGATAGCACATCTGGCAGCATCATAAAATCTTGACGTCCCAAGCTATTACACAGGAATTACTTTTGTAAATCATTTATGAATATTACTGATGTAGGCCTATTCTGGGCAGTAAGAAAGGAAACAGAGCACTGAAGGACAAAGGAAGGGAAAAAGGATTCCCTGCCCTTTCAGGGCTCATCAGATAGGGTGGATATTTATCATTTTAAATGGGAAACATGTTGTCATTGATACAGCTGAAAAGTCCACATAACACAATTTGTTCCCCATATTCCCTAAACAGGCAAAAGGGGAAGATAGTCTACCTGAGGAAAACCATAAATTGATCTCTCCTGAAGAAAAATCTGTCCCTGTCCGAATCTTAAACAAGACTTCCCAGTTAAATACTACATATTGCTAAAACCACAGTAAACACAAACTCACAATTCAAGTAGACTGAAAGAGGAAAGTCTTACCAAGGCCACCACTGAGACAAAATAAAAGGCCTGTTTTAGCTCAAAAAAAAAAAAAAAAAAAGGTATTTACAAGATCCACCCCCAATCCACATAGTGCCATGCCTTTGGAGCACGGCAACATGACTGAATGGAAACTCTCCACATAGCTAAAATGACTTGATTAGCTGCTAAACATACGCCTTCAGACAGAAAGCTGGCAAATCAAAAGCTTATGTTGACTTTTAGTATCATGAACTATCACACTATTAGCAATTCCAGAAGATTGCACCTATCGATTTGGATGGGAAACACATCAGACACTGCAATAACTCTGGGTACTGCCGCCTTGCCAAACTCAATGTCTGAAATTACATTCCTTTTCAACACGTAGGTGGACGGAGGAACCGACACCAAACACACCGTCACTGGATGGAGGGGCAACAGAGGAGTCACCCTGAATGAACCAACAATTGGGGGCTACAACAAGCCCTTCACTCTTCATTCCTGATCTCCCCAGTACTGGGAGCTACTGGGTGTTATTCTTGTTGAGCCAGAGCAGAGGAGAAGGTCATTTGCAATACTCTGCAAAACATTTTTCCAGCCTTAGGTAAGAAGGCATTTTTTTGGGGAAATTCCCTGCTTTAGGGGCCATAAAGAGGAAAGGAGTAATTAATTCTCTGACAGCTCCTATTTGACTTCCAAACACCAGGCTCCTTCAGACTACAGCATGTCTACGAGGGATGCACAGAGCCATTATGGAGCACATGCCACTATTGCACCACATGCTTTCCCTGCCAGAGCAGAAAATTTCTAAATTTGGCTTCCTCCCAGGAAGCAAATTCCTCTCCATACACACCCAGACTGATTTCTCACAGATGAGCACGCTGCCCACTAAAATCTGAAGTGGGCTGCATCCACAGGGTGCTGAGGACCCACCCTGGCAGGGCACTGCTGTGGCAGGAGCAGCCAGCTGCACTGAGTAGAGAGGAGCTCCTGGTTTATCTGAAAGTGGCAATACTGAGAAAGAAGCTCTAACGTGAAAAAGCAAGTTTAAATTTTTGATAGTTTCAGATCAACTAGAATCCGAAAATGACAATGTAACGTAGTTTTAATAATCAAAGCATGGACCAATCAAGCTGCACAAAGAGCTCCACCAGGAAAAAAATCCACAACGTGACATAAAGGAAGAACTGAAAAGAAATGGTGGTTTCCAGGATTATGAGTAGCATCTTCAGGGTATCATCTGGACATTGCTCCTCAGACTTGACAGCATGAGGCAACATTGGCTGTGGCTAAGAAATCGGAGATTCATGTTCTGTTTACCCCCCTCTTTCTGAATGCAAACACATGTTCTGTCTTTCCAATAATGATGGACAACACATGCACTGAGTAGGTACATTGAAAGTCATCTGTTAATTGCAGATACATGTAAATGACCACACAGCAAGCTTTCCCAGGGAGACAGGACTGGAAAAAAGGAAGACAGCTACACTAAGATTAGATACTGTGAAAAAAACTCCAAGAGCATAATCAAACAAAGTTGATTCATGTACTTTTTTCCTAATTCAATATAACTATTACAATACTATTTCAGATAATTCCAGAATGTTAAAGAGTGATGAGTGGTTTTTTTTTTTTTTCAGTCCATTACAGATAGCACTTGCTTCAGTAACTATGCCAATGGAAGAAAATCCATCATGTACTAACCATACTAAAATCTGCAACAGGAATATTCCCCATTTTGTGAAGTAAAGTGAGATGTGGGAGTCCTTGACCTTCTGAGTAATTAAGGGAAACAGAGACATTCTTGTTTTTATTAGAGACACACTAAACTATTTGAAAATAATTTGAATAGCTGGAGAATTAGTGTATTTGCCTGCTCATGAGTAGTGCAGATAGTTTAGAGTTCTCCTGGGGGCAACACATCGTAATGAATATCTGCTATTCATATTTAATGCAATCTGCCAAAGAGTGCTTTTGGGACGACTTTCTGTGTCAATATAATGATTAACAACAGGACTGGAAAAGTAAATGAATTCCTACAACGGGTGGGGCTGGCAAAAATATCTTGCATTACTATACCAGTTACACTGGATTTAACTACTCTTTTAATGATACAGTGGAAAATCCATTTCCCAGGGAGGGGGGAAAAAAAAAGCCAGCAATCTTTAAGATGAAGTTCAAGTAGTAAATAATTGCATTAATGGAAGGAAAAACAATTCCAGCAGAAAACAATGCCCAAAACAACAATCTGCCTGTCCTGAGCATGTATGAAAAGTCTGCTATGTAATACTGACTACTAAATAAAATAATTACCTTTTACATAGCACAACACAGAAATAATGTTGTAGGTACTTCATTGTCTACCTCTTTGAATTCCTCAGATAATCTTACTTTCCATACATTTTCTCATATTTCGAAGACTTACATAAAACAGGACATAAAGTCCTTTATTCTTTACAGTACACTTTTAAAACACCCCAGACAGAAAAGAATGGAAAAGCTTGGCTAAAATACAATGAGTGACCTTAATATGGAATTTTCTCCATGGCATCCCAACTGTATTCAAAATAACACATTCAGATTACTTTTTTCCAAGCTATCAGATGAAACAACCTCTTACTAAGTTCGTATAAATTCCAGGACATTCTTGCATCAGACTGACCACTATTCCCTGCCGCTTATCAAGCTACTCCTATTCCTCCCTTGCAATAAATGGAAGAGGGGGGATATCAAGGATTCAAAGGCTCACACTGGCAGCCTGAGGCCCAAAATGTGGGGTAGAGGTCAGAGGTAGAATATGGGGGTGCTCCCACCAAATGCCATGGGCTACACAAATCACCTTGTTCAAGCAAATGCTCAATCCAAGCAAAAAGGGAACTGCCAAACAAAGTGTTTTATTATTTAGTGGCTCTCACTGTGGTTATTGTCCAGACCCTTTTTTAATTTGATCTAGGATACACTCAGGGATTCCTTTCATCACAGCATTAGCTCAGATTAAGCTTTTTCCTCCAGCTCACACCAACTGGTTTTGTTATGTAGTGGTATCTAGCCATGTTAAACTAATTCTGTGAAACTCATTCTGGGGAAGTTATGTTACAGGAACCAGTCTTGCAAAGATACTCTACAAACAACCAGCAGGGTTTGCATCTTCCCCATGCTGAGATTTGCTTGTGAAACTGCAACATCACTGTGTGCCTTGCAGTTCCATCAGCCATAACGTAAAGGCAGCAGTTTCCTCACCAGTTTTCAACTGGATATACCAGTTTCCATGGATATACTACAAAGATCTGTGTGGCTTTTACATAACTTCCTTCTCAAATTTCAGGTGGTGATCTCTTGGTTAGAGGTGTTTTCTTGGAGTCTGGGGTTTTTTGTAAGACTAATTTTTATAACTAATCTTTTTCCAGAAATTAAAATGTGCCATTACAGCCACACAACAGATGTTTTATAAAGTGGGTAAACTCTTCTAAAGCTGGTATCCTCACACTGTGACAGTTGCCTTACTGACCTCTGGCAGCAGCAGCATCAGGTCTCATGATGACCAGATGGGCCCTGACCCTTCTTCCAGGGCTGATGGAGAGCAATGCCACTCAGATACAAGAACTGCTTGTGTGACTGCTACTCACCTGAACCTAAGGTGTTTTTACTTTAATAAAATGTCAAGTAACAATATTTGCCCTTATTTATTTATTCCTCCCCAAAACATTTCACAAGTGTTCTATGATTTTAATATTGCAAATATGTAAGACTCTGCAGGACATTTGCCCATTTCCCATGGCTGCTTCCAGTCTGGCCAAGAACCAGAACCTCTTGGTCCATGACAAGATATGGTGCATGACCCAAAAAGTACAGGAATACCCCCCATTTTGCCTTCTCTCACCATTTCTAAATGAGCTAAGCAGTAACCTCCTGAAACCATCTCTGCTGTGCAGAAGAAACTCCTCATTCATTAACGTGGCCAGGGAAGCCCGCATGCCACCTGATGTCAGGAGTGAAGATGTCTGCTCTGTGCTCCACGGGGTAACACAGCAGTAGGTAAATCAATCTGACTCCACAAAAGTAACGATCTCCTTGACCGTGGTCTTGTTCGGTGCTAATGCATCGTTCACATACCCGTAAAAGTGGGATTTTTTTCATCCTCTGACCTCTCCAGCACTGCCACCAGACCTCCAATTATTAAGTATTTTGCACTATGTATCTCAGTATAAAAACAGAAGCTGAGTCACAGGTCACAGAGGTAACAGCATTATTAACATCAATGAAACTAAATCACTCCATCCTGAGCATTTATGGCAAGCCCCTTGTGCTCACACAGTTCATGTGTCTAAGATGTACTGTTGTCTGTTTAATGGGACTGGAGATACCTGCTCCAGCTGTAGATTAAGATAACTTAGTGAAACCTGATATAAGGTTATTCTGCCATCATTAAAAGTCTAAAACCAAGACAGAACAAAATAAAACAAGACGCTAATTCTAAACCTCAAATGGAGCTAACTTTGAACAAAAGCTGTTGAACCACACTGTTTTAAAAAGATTAAAGAGATCTTCATAACATTCCTGTTATGTAAAATAATTTCTATTGGATTTTATGTGAATTAAAAGAATCTGGAAGATAAACAGTACAATAGCTTCAAGCATGTAAAGAGCATTGGTTTGGCCAACCTTTAATTTTTTCAGGTCTTTGCAATAGAGTTCCATATTATTCCACCACACAGATTATAACTTCTAACTTTAATAGAGACCATCAGTCATACTGAGTTTGGCCCATGGGTGGCTTCATTGGGAAAACAAACAAATCAACAAACAGAATCTACAGTGGAGAACAGAACCTTGAACTACAACTCAAAGCTCAACCTGCGTGCTTCCAAGGACTTGTCTCTATAAATCCCGCCATATAAACCTCGAGCTCCAGAATCAGAAGTCTGCAGACAGTGTGTTGACACTACAGATATGAAAACAGAGTAGTACAAACCAGAAGAGTCATCCTACAGCGGACTGTGTCTCAATACAAATTCTCATTCAAGTCATCCTCCTTCCTATCTTGCCAATTGTAGCTGGTATTTGCAAACACTATTGCCTTGAGCTACGCACAACAGCTGCCACGCTTTTGTGCTCAGTCAGAGAGAGCCAGAGATGCAAAGCACCTCAACAAAAATACTGACCTGAAAACACTGGGACCAGGGCAGAAGGACACAAACCCCAGGATTCAGAAGTAGCCACTTACTTTGCATATTGACAGAAATTCATACTAAGCATTACTTTTCTGACAGGCTGAGCATTGACTGATTTATTAATCATTAATAATGCATCAGCAACACAGTCTTAATTCCACAGGAATAATTAATAGAAAAGAAAAACTCTGCATTACTGATCATATAATTTTGGTATTTACTAATCTATGCCTCATAAAATATTTCCATATACTAATAAAACTATTTCTTCGACAGGTGAGTATTCCTGAAGTAGTGAGGGATAAATTCAGGATGGTAATCCAGGATATTTTCTGATAGGATTGGAAAATTGAAGTTACTTGTAGACCTTATGGCTGTCTTGTTTTTCATCTCAAATAATGACAAACACCCTGCAATAGAACAGGGCAAATAAAAACCTGACCCAATTATACTTCTTCACATATGTGACTGGATGAAAACTGTCCACACAAATGCAAAAAACAAAAAAACAACCCCCCCACTAATTTATTTCAAGACTGCCCAGCATTCCAGTATGTGTATGTGAGACATGAAGCCAGAATTAGCATCAAGCAGCACAAAACCTACAACTTCACTCTTCACAAGTACTGTCTTCAGTGTGATTTCCCATTTAAGTTTGGAGCTGAAACTTTGTGAGATTTCTGTAAAGAATTCTCTGAAAGATGTACCAGGGACACTTCTATAACAAGTCTCCTTTTCTTTTAGTACAAAGTACATTGTTCCACACATGTGCTGTTTAGTCAAGACTTCTCACACCCAACTGTGGCGGAAATGAATTTAGATAAGCACCTTCAACAACAAACTGAACTGTAAAGCATCAGATGTATACATCTGGGTTTCCTGGGTAATAAATACATCAGTCACCCACTGCAAAGATCTCCAGAGATGTATCTTGTCTAAGTGACCCTACTTAAAAAGTTTATACCCGGGAGAGCTTTGTTTGGAGCCACTTAAACACATACAAAACTAAGACCAAGCAGAAAGCATGCTTGTCATAAGGCAAAGAAAAAGCTTTGCCCAGTTAATACACTCAGCAGTGCTGCATGTAGAAGTGTTGTGGTTTCGGCTGGGAGAGTTAATTTTCTCCCTAGAAGCAGGTAGAGTGCTGTGGTTTTGGGACTGAGTACAAGAATAATGTTGATAGCAGCAGCTAAAGCATCACTGTGTTAAGTGGTGTTTACTCTGAGTCAAGGGCTTTTCAGTTTTCCATGCTCTAACAGTGAGGAGGTGCACAAGGAGCTGGGAGGGAGCACAGCCAGGACAGCTGACCCAAACTGGCCCAAGGGATACCCACAAGGTAAAATGCCATCCCCAATATATAAAGTGGGGGGAGTTGCCATGGCAACTCATGGCTGGGCATCTGTCAGCAGGTGGTGAGCCACTGTAGTGAGCATCTCTTTTCTCTCCTGGGTTTTACTTCTCTCTTTTTATTGCCTCCCTTTTGATTACA